TGTGGGTCTATATAACCAGAGGTCACAGTAACTAGCTGTGGGTCTATACAACCTGGTGTTGCCGTAACTAGCTGTGGGTCCACACAACCTGGGGCCACTGTAACTCTGAGTAGAACATTTTCTGAGTGCCAGCCCCTCCCTGCCCCTGCCCCTGCCCCTGCTCCTGAGCAGTGAATACTCTGGTTCTGCTGGCGGAGATGGAAGACAGGCAGTCACAAGGTCACATCAGTAACTGCTTAGAGGGAAGCAGGGAGGGCATTCCTGAGGAGTAGAGGTGCAATCTTAAGTGACCAGGGAAGTTTGCTACAGTAGTGTCTCAGTGTGAAGCTGGGGATGAGGCCAGATTGCACAGATCTGTGGAGGACGCAGTGAAGCCACAGTGAGAGGCACAGACAGCACATGGTGGGCACACTCAGGCAGCAGGAAGCCGGGGTGACGGCAAGAGGGTCGAGGGGCACAGGTCCAGAAGATAAGTCATAGGGGCTTTATCATGCAGGGCTCTGATCTGGGGCTGACATGACCAGACATGGGTTTTATCAGAATTAATCCAGCTATTGCATTAGAATGGACGGCACGGGGGCAAAGGTGGAAGCCAGGAGACTGGTTCAGGAGCTGGATGACCCCTCCTGACTGGCCCTGCTTTCTCAGTGAAGTTAAACAGGGTCCTAGAGCATGAAAGGCTGAGGGAAGGGCTGATGCTTAGGACAGAGGCAGGAATGGCCTTCTAGGGGAGTTTGCGGACAGAGAAATGTAACATCGTGTGGTCTCCTGAGGTTCAAGGCCATGTGTTTAAATCCCCACTGATCTGCACCTTTCTCCAATCGTGTTCACCTGCACGGGTGCAGGGGCGGAACAGGCAGAGCTGGGTTTAACCACAGTTTGGGTTTGTCAGATTAGGGAGCTGGGCAGCTGAGGGCACATATGTCAATCACAGTCATGACTGCAAGTGACCATGAAATGTAAGCTCAGTAAAGAAAAAAATGGAGAGAGAAGAGTGAAGGACAAGCGAAGAGCGGGAAGAATGGACTGCCCAAGTCAGATGATCACAGGGCATGAGCTGGACCAAGAATGGACTGCCCAAGTCACATGATCACAGGGGATGAGCTGGACCAAGAATGGACTGCCCAAGTCACATGATCACAGGGGATGAGCTGGACCAAGAATGGACTGCCCAAGTCACATGATCACAGGGGATGAGCTGGACCAAGTTACACTAGTGACAGAGACAAAGGCTGCAGTATGTGTAGTGACAGGTCCAGGAAATGACCATAACAGGGCACAGCTGAGGCCAGGCAGAGGCTCGGCCCACAGGGAGAGGCGGCGGAGGCGCTGCAGAGATCCAGGAGGAAGAACTGTTGATGTAACTCCGGGAAACACTGAGAAGTGAGGCTGAGTAGGTCAGAGACACAGTGAGAGTGACCCCGGAGCTACATTCTTCAAACCAGGGGGAAGCCTGAGAGTCAGGGTATGACTTCAGAGACTAAGGGTAATGGATGGTTTTATCTGCTGCATGAGATTCACAACTAGGGGTATTGAGCAGACCCACTCGACCTCTGGTTCGGTAGTACGACAGGAGTTTTAACAATGTGTCCCTGATGGACTTCCGGTGTTCTGCCTGTCCTCACTCATTCCACTCAGACCCCTGCCCCACTGTCCTTCCAAACCTGCCTTAGGGTCTCTGCAGGTGCTCATCCCTCTGCCTGGAGCATCTTCTCCCAAACCCACAGAAGGCCCCTCCTGCACCTGTTTCAAGTTAGACACACGATCATCTAACTGAGGCCTTTCTGGACACACACTCCCCCACCCTCCATGCCCTTCTGCTGCTTAGTTTTCAGACCCCGTCAGACCTTCTGACACACAATACATTGTACTTGTCTCCTCTAACACCCGTGTGAGCTCCAGGACACACACTTTGTTTCGCTCACTGTTCTGTTGTATTTACTGTGGGCAGAACGGTTCCTGGCACACAGCGATTGCTTGTTAGTGTGACTGAACATGTTAACGCTGTAGCTACTGTTAACATGGTCGGTTCCATTAACAGTAGAGTGGGAGCTATGCATTCCTGAGAGAGTACCTGTTATGATTAAAAAGTTAAATTCTTTTAAAAATTAAAAATGTAAATTTCAAGATCTAGACAGACTTCGTACGCATTTCTTCCCTGATGACTGCTTTATACTCCATGTGTTCATTTAAAAACAAGGTAAATGATTACAAAATTTCCTTAACTCCATGAATACCAGTTGCCTGATTACTATATAAAGACAGAGGAGAGTTCATCTTAACTAAGGCTGTCCATCCACTCACCATTTACCCTATGCCTACCTCAGGCAAGGCCCAGTGTCAGATCTGGGGATTCAAAGACAAATGCATGGTCCCGCCCTCAGTATGGCAGCAGTGTCCTGGATAGGGGAGAAGTGCTGCAGGCAGCCTTGGACACCACCTGGTCTGCTGGACAGCACAGGGATGTAGCTGAGACCTGCAGCCATTTACAATCTCCTATGTGACCAGTAGCCATTACTTAGGAAACCCTAACGATTGATATTTGTGAATGGCAGATACTAGCATTCCTCTGTAAGACAGACCACAGCCACCAGAAGCTCTCCCATTTAGAATACATGCAGTTTCTGCACAGCTTTGATAACCAGTGTGTCTTCCTGGGATAGGCTGGTACACATGGAATTAATGATGCCTCTTCCTGGGATAGGCTGGTACACATGGAATTAATGATGCCTCTTCCGGGGAGAGGCTGGTACACACGGAGTGTATCACAAGCCATGCTTACCGCTGTACCACCAATGCAACACACCTCTTTGGAAACCTCTGCTCCAGAGAAAGCATCCCTCAGAGTGGAAGACAGATGGAGGGGCCAAATAAGCGCACAACTTACTGTTCTCTTGCTGAAACCCAACAGAGCTTATCATGTCCATCTTGTTTCAGAATGTCCATTAGTGCCTGTCTGGAGGAATTCTCATAAACGGTTCCCAGGAAGTTACATAAATACGGCCTCTCATCATGCAGCAGCGACCAACTCACCTCCACCACAGGGAAGTTCCTGTACCTGGAAAACAGCACACGGGTCGTCGCTCGCCACAGGGGCCCACAACCCAGCCTCCTGGGTGGCAGGTACACAGAAAAGACTCAAAACGCCATTTCTAAGTCTCAAACTGTACCTTCCCATGTTTATTTTGGGAAAGTCCCTGAATCTACTGACTTAAGAAAGAAAAAAAAAAGAACTGCCCATTGACCTCTCTTCAAAAATTGTTACAGAGATTTTGTGCTTGAAGCTGTTTTCTTTCCACATTCTTTAACTTCCATCACTCACCTTCACTAGGCATGCTGACCTCAAGGCCCTGTCCTACACTCACAAGGGCCAGGATTTAACCACTGCTTTACAGAAGTGGTGACTCTGGGGGGGGGGAGGGAGATGGGGGAGATGCTGAGGAAGGGTCACAGGCAGACAGCAATAAGCGTCAGGGATCTATGGCACAGAATGGCCACTGTCATAAATAATAACGTGCTGTATATTTCAAATCTGCTCAAAGAGATTTTAAATGTTCTTGCCACAGAAAATTTTAATTAGCCTAATCTAATCATTCTGCATTGTAAACGTGTCAAATATCACACTGTAACCCGTAAACAAGTACAATTATAATTTCTCAGTTAAGGAAAAAGATTACAGAATATATACTACTATAGCAAAAGGCTCTGGAAAATTAGCCTCAAGTTTATTAAAACAAACACAAATCCTTTGTACGCCACACAGGAGAGGCCTGCTGCAAGTAGCTATTCTTCTGGGTGCTGGGAAACAGCACGATCCAGCTGTGCTGAAACACAGCCTGCACCCGAGGGCAGAGCTCTGCAGCACGGCCTGCGCCCCTCTGAGGCTGCCCTCTGCCGGGCAGGTGTTCCTGGGCTTCAACGCAGCAAGCCGGCAGCGTCCAGGCTCTACTCCCGAGATGCCGGTTTATGAAAACCTTCCTCCAGTTGCAACCACCACAAATGTCTCCAGACATTATCAAATACTTCCTGGTTGGCAAAACTGCCCTGGCTGAGAAGCAGTGATTATCAGGAAAGGTACTGGCCTAGTCCAGCAACACCAGAATTACCAAGAGTTTCACCCTATACTGTATGAACAGGCTATACAGTGTTACTATTAGCAATTTACAAGTATGGCCTCTTCACAAGTGAGAGATTTTTCAGAGGGTCTTTACTCTGGGTTTACTTATTAACAAATATCTTTTTGTCTGGTCCTACTCCAAACTTCCTGAGTCAGAATATTGTAGAATAGGCCTGGGAATGTCTTATTAATGTTTCCCTGGAAACCTTTGCTAACCAGTCAGCAGTCCAAGGCTGGATACAGTAGCCAGAGATGGACTAATGCGTAATAAATGTCTGACTGAAGAATCACCTCAGCGGAACGCTTCCTCATCCATGCACCTGATAGGGATTCACTGAGCTGCTGCTCTGGGCTCTGGACAGAAGCCCCTGCCCTCAGGAGGTCTGTGTGCACCTACATGTGCTAAGTATCTTAAAGTCAACTTACTCTTAATTAAAAAACAGAAAAATAAAAAATATATTTTCCATTTTATAGTTGGAGAAAATATACTTAGAAACCTTAGCTATTTAATTAAACCCTCATTACACAGAAGGAATTTGTGCAAATTCAGCCAGTCCCAAACCCAACAGTACAGTGTGCTTTTGATACAATACTTCTTTTAATTTTTTTTTTTTACCATAAATTATATAGACTCTATCATTGTTTTCTTAAAAAGTGTAATTACCATTCTCTGCTAAATTTCTCTTTAGGGTAACCCTAATAAACTTGAAAATCGATCCTATGCATGGGGTTCCAAAACTACAAAGTAACTCATCCACTCTCCTTAGACCAGGATAAAGCATCCCCACCAGAGTGTCTACACCTGGGACGGTGATCTCCATGCCACACCAGGGTGCCCGTATCATCAGCAACACTGCTTCCACAGTTTCCCTTGTGTAAAGACATCTTCAAAGCTTGCAGAGCATCAGTATCTAACTCATATCTCAACTCCGAGAATCCTTTTTTAGTTTTAGTTGCAGACACATTTACAGCCATTAAGCATCTGATTGGTAAATTAATTTTCCAGTCCTATGTCAGACCTCTGACATCTGACATGATTCTCCTGTTCTGCTCCAATGTCAGAAGACATTGGGAGCTTGGGAATTGTATAAAATGAAAATACATGGCACAGGGACAGTTATGGCTTCTAGGAAGGAGTTTCCAAGTGATCTTCAGGAACGGGAGTTGTGTGCCCCTCCTGCCATCACAGAGGGGAGTGATGATGCTGAGTACAGTCTTCTCGGGCACACTGATCACTGGTCACAGAAACAAACAGCCTCTTCAATTTGACAAACCAACAGTTATTCCAGAATACACAAAGTGTATGGGAAGAATAGACAGAGATGATCAGTATTGTGGGTGTTATAGATTTAATTCTTCTGGCTGATGGACTGGCAGCTGTGAATGGTGCACCCTTTACCCTTAGTAAGGAGAGTGGAGGGAAGGGCAGACCCACCTCCCTTACAGGGGAAACCTTGTCACTCAGCTTGTGGGCAGTGTGGGCAACAGAAATTCAAGAAAAGAGGAAAGGCTGTATGGGAAGATGTATTTTTATAATGCAAACTGAAAAACAAACCAACAGGGATCACATGGTTTGCAGCAGAAGCAATGAGAAAGGTGGAGGAGAGAAACCATGTCTACTGTGAGATGTGCAAGAGGAAGCCTGGACTGCATCCTGGGGGTGGCTTCAAGAAGTGTCACACTCAAGAAAATTACAAACAAACAATAACATATTATTTTATATAACCTAAAACAGATAATAAAATCATCAGGTGAGTTCATATAAAATTTTAGGAAAATTACGAGTAATCCACCAATCTCTTTCCAGCCCCAAATAAATAAGAGCTGGGGAATATCCAGGTGGCAGAAAAACTGGACTGGAAAAGGTTTAAACTGCTATAGGATCAAATTACTTCCCACGACTTTTTTTAAACTTAATGTGGGTGTTTTACTGTTATCGCCGTGTTCCTCTAGGTCTTCCATTCAGAGGGTAGCAGTGTGTTCTTATGTTTGCTGTTGACAAAGGACAAAGGAGTTCTCTCCCTCTCCCCTTATTTGCATGTTATCCCCTATAAACTTGGTTCAGGCATATTTCAATCCAGAGTTGACCTTTTGGCTTTGAGCAGGGGACTTGCACAGGTCTGTGGGGAAGTGAAGCTTACAGAGAGATTGTATCTGCCTATTCACCGGGATGCGTGGTTACAAGTTAAATGCAGATATGAACATATCTGAGGATACAGGAATAAAGACTTTTAAAGAAAGAATAAAATACCCCCAAAACTCATCATCGTCACTAAAGCATGAGACCTCCTGCCTCTGGGAAAGGCTGCAGCTGGCCTTAATGATCCCAGAAGAACTAAATTTATTATGATTTAAAACAAAACCTTCCTGATTCAGAAATTCAGATCTTAAGAGTCTCAAAAGGTACAATCTTATTTTATACTTACGTGGCTACTCCTAAAGGCCACTGGAAAACATCCACGTCATTGACCCAGGGACTGTCGTACACGAGGAAAAGCAGCTCCACGAAGCCCCCGTTCCTTTTGAGGTAAGGGTTTATCCATTCATTATTGCAATACTCATTTCCAAGCAAAACAACAGCAAGGTGCTCCAGTTTTTTAATTTGTACTAAATTTTGTACATAAAGTAACCACTGGGTGGCATAAAAGATCTTTGCTTTTTCTCTTCCATTTAAAACAAGCACCACATTGTTCACATCCACAGTGAAGTACCCTGGTAGTACAGCTGGACCGGTGATGAAGCTGCCAAAAATAACAGAGAGAGACAAACAAGAACAGAACACAAAGGGATCTGGTATCAGTTCTTAATCATTTTACATAGAACCTACAATGACATTTAATCCATATTCTTTCTAGAAATAAAGTTTCCATAATACAAGTTCTTTTAAATAAGTTTGGATGACAGCACATAGCTGTCGATTAATGGGAAGCTTTGTTTGAAGCCAGATCAACTTATATATGATAATCAGAAGTGTAGCAGCTTTTTTTGTTTTTGAGTGCTGTTCGAATAGCCCTCAAGTAAGTGCTGGCTAGAATTTAAGCTCTTAAGCAAAGAGATACAGCAGGACCTCCACAGCTGGCCTCCCTGAGTCGACCTGATCCCCACAGACTGGACATGCACCATGTGTGCAGGTCAGGACAGCAGCCTCGCTCCTCACAGTGACCACCTCGTGTGCTCACCAGCTTGTGACAGGTCCTGGGTGGTCAACTGATCGAGGTGCTACTGTATACTGAACCGCGTGAGAAAGACAGAAGACGATGGGAACTGGGGAAGAGGACAAAGAGAGCTTCACTGTTGTTAGAAATATTTACTAGAAATACTTAATTCTTTTAAGAAGAAAGTTAAGTATCTGAAGCAAGTATGACAGCTGGAATTTGTTAGTTCTGGGTGCAGGTAAATGGGAATTTATTGTATTACTCTCTGTTTTTATTGTACTTAAAACAGTTTTCGTAAAAGGAATACACATTTCATAACCCACATTTTTATTATATATTTCCTAGAACCAACATCATTGAAGTATTTTTCACTAACATGCACTAAGTATGAAAAATACATTTAATTCATCTTCATTTCGGGGGGGACATAAGTCTCACTTTGTCCTCTGCTAGAATGCACTGGCATCATCATGGCTCACTGCAACCTTAAACCCTACTTCAGCCTCAAATAGCTTGGACTACAAGCATGTACCACAACACCCAGGTAATTTTTTCTATTTTTAGTAGAGACAGACCTCACTGTTGCTCAGGCTGGTCTCTAACTCCTCACGTGATCCTCCTGCCTTGGCCTCTCAGAGCGCTAAGAGTGCTATACAGGCATGAGCCCTGCCACTGAGTCTATTTTATCTTAAAATTAGTCACTCTAGTCCTGGATTCTTTACATCTTGCTTGAAACATCTCTTTACATTTTACTAGAATCTTTTAATCTTCAGTACAAACATGCCCCAATACTTTTATTGCTTCTTATTGTTAGGGAAAGAAAAGCCTAACATTTGTTAAATGCCTTTTATATAAGAGTCACAGATATGACACATCAACACTTTTCACGGGTCATCATTTAACTCCCACAACACTGTACAGTACAGTACTCCCCCCTCTGCATCTGAGAAACATAACACTTTAGCTGCATGGCCCGTAACTGCTAAAGCCAAGTCTGGACCAAGTTCTAAATTCAGAGCTTAAGTTACTTTACACCATGGTGGTTAAGAAATACTACAGCAAGTAGATATTACATGTAGTTAAAACTCAAAATATGTATTTTGTTGTCTGCATGTACCATGTGACATAAATGACATTATTCTAAAATTAACAGGTCAGGACTATATTCTTGAGTTTGCCTTGAACAGCATCTAGCACTGAAGATGGCTAATGGTTCAGTAACAGTTTAGTAATTTAGATAATCTGCAGAATCTGAGGGGGCAGAAAACAATTTAGGGATATTATTAATAATTAAAATGTTTAAAATATTTATTATTGATACTATACAAATATGTTTCCATTAGAAACGCAGGCAGGTGTAATTCTTAGAGCATGAGAAGCTTCCTGGTTCTTCTTCCTCACACTAGGTCAATGTTTTGAAAGAAGAAAAGGAAACTCTGAGACACGTTCTGGGACTTGCACGAAGCTCCCGTGCCCCAGAAAGACATGGCAGAGCTGGGACTCTAAGACCACAAATATCACGTGCCCAAGGGATTTCAGAGTGACATACTAACTTTTATGTTATTTTTTGAAGCAAATACAACATTTTATTAAGGATAATGCTGATAAACTGCATTTTAAAAAGTTTTCACAAAAGGAATACACATTTTATAGCCCATATTTTCATTATATATTTCCTAGAACAACCAATGTCGTTGAAATATTTTTCACTACCATACACTAAGTATAAAAAATACATTTAATTCATCTTCATTTCTTGGGGGATAGAATCTCACGTTGATAATTCTCTAATAGTATTTTAATTTCTAATGAGGTAAGATAGTAATACATGTAAAAAATGTTTTCATTGAAACTTACAACAGAAGGAACTAAATAAATACCGTGAGTCTTCATGTCCTGGGCACCCATCTGTTACTGCTCATCTTTACACGACTGTGGTAGGACTTGGAGGCATATTTTTCAAATTGTATAGATTTGTTTGTTGCTTTATATAAAAGCATAATATAGATAATGAACACCTATATTTTACAGTTCAGTAAACACTAGCCTGAGACTATATATTAAACACCACCTTGACACAGAATAAAATTGCCAAGGCAGTTCAGATCAAAGGGGAATGAAAGAGAAAGGTAAAGGTTGAAATGTATTCCAGGAAATATAAGCAACTGGAAAAAAGGCATAGAGACAGGTAAGCTTGTGATTTAAAAATATACAAGGAAAATAAGACCACATATTGGTAACAAAACTAATCTGACGGGGAGGAAGAGTAGGTTATAAAGGAAGTAAAAAAGAGCTTGTAAAACAGTATCTGGTACAGAATTTCCTTTCCATAAATGTTACTATCATTTTTTTTGGGGGATAGAGTCTCACTTTGTCACCCTCTGTAGAGTGCTGTGGCAGCGCAGCTCATAGCAACCTCAAACTCTTAGGCTCAAGCAATCGATCCTCTTGCCTTAGCCTCCCAAGTAGCTGGGGGCTACAGGTGCCTGCTCTAACATCCAGCTAGTTTTTAGAGATGGGGTCTTGCTCTTGCTCAGGCTGGTCTTGAACTCCTGAGCTTAAGCGGTCCACTCACCTCAGCCTCCCAGAGTGCTAGGATTACAGGCGTGAGCCACCACACCCGGCTCAATGTTAGCTATTATTATAAATATGTAAAAAAGCAAGGAACAATATTATGTAAAATTATAGCATAATTTTAATTATAATGTAAATAGAAAAAAGGCTGGAATCAGACATGATAAAATGCTAACTGTAAAACCCTTGTTTTGGAGTAATGAGCAAAATAGAATTATGAGTGATTAAAAATGTTACCTTTTCTAAATCTTCCACCAGTTATTACTATAACCACTTAGGAGTATTTTTTTATAAATATATCTTTAAAAGAAAACTATAATTTTAAAAATCAACAAGCTTGTAAAGTGTGACTAATGAATATTTCAAATTTTTCAAACATTTATTTTTGAGACAGAGACTCACTCTGTCACCTTGGGTACAGTGCAGTGGTGCCGTCACAGCTCACTACAACCTCAAACTCCTGGGCTAAAGTGAGCCTCCTGCCTCAGCCTCCTGAGTAGCTGGGACTATAGGTGCTGCACTAGTGGAGACAAGGTCCTGCTCTTTCTCAGGCTGGTCTCAAACTCCTGACCTGCAGTGATCATCCCACCTCAGATTCCTAGAATGCTAGGATTACAGGTGTGAGCCACTGCACCCTGCCTGAATATTTCAAATAAGTTAAAAATTTTAAGTAAAAAATGCATTAATATGGAAGAAAACATTTTACAATTTAGTCAAAAAAGTTAACCTTTACATTTTTCTGTATTATAAAAACATTTAAAAGAGAGTAAGTAAACATTAGCACAGCTAGCTGAAGCAGGTGACTGGCTGGGCTGTCCTCAGTTTTCTGGGTAACACAGGTTGTCTGCTGAGGAGGGCAGCTATGTTGTGGGCAGAGGGTGTGAACTCTCCCACCCATCTGGGCACTGTCTGGCGGCACCACAGTACCAGCCCTGCAAGCCGGAAAGCAGGGACTGTCACGTTTGTTTCTCTCATTCTCCCATCTAATTATTTCCTAAATTCTGGTAGTTCCCTTCACTGTCTCTCTTCCAGAGACTTCCAATCTTTCACCTGCTCTGCCTGCACCAAGTTGTTTCCTTTACATCATTTTTTCCATACTGCTGCTAGAGAAATCTAGACAAAGGAGAAAGATGGACAGCACTGCTCTCCTGCCTCATCGTCCTCGATTGCCTTCCACTGTCCGAGAGCCTCAGCATGGTACATACCAGACCCATGGCGATCACCTGACCCAGGCTTCTCCGTCTCAGCTACCCTCCCTTACCTTCGTCCTCTGGGAATCCTGACTGGTCTGCAGTTCCACGCACAAACCTAGCTCTATGAGTATGAGCCTCTGATGTCACCTCTGCTGGGAACATACTCTCTCCTTTCTCTCTTTATTGAGACTGAATCTCATTCAGTCGCCCTGGGTAGAGTGCCGTGGTGTCACAGGTCACAGCAACCTAAACTCTTGGGCTCAAGTGATTCTCTTGCCTCAGCCTCCCGAGTACCCGGGACTACAGGCGTCTGTCACAATGCCTGGCTAGTTTTTCCATTTTTAGTAGAGATGGGGTCTCGCTCTTGCTCAGGCTGGTCTCGAACTCTTGAGCTCAAAGGACCCTCCTGCCTCATCCTCCCAGAGTGCTAGGATTACATGTGTGAGCCATCGTGAATGGCCGATATTTTGATTCTTTTGAAATACACTTCTGGTCCTTTGCAGCTTGCTCTATCACCTATACATCGAGATGTGAAAACCCAGGTATTTCTACTTCCCGCGTGGGATCACCATAAAATCTTGCTTTTGTAGACTTTGCTGACCAACTGGGCATCTTTCACAGTGGTAACTAGAAAAGGGCCCTTTAGAAATAAGATATGAAGACATTCCTTTCAGGGCTCCAAGGAATACATAAATCAGTCATTTATACACAGACCCACTACCCCCTCCAGCTATGTGCGTGTGGGAGGAGACACTAATGTCCCGTCCCACAGGCCAGGGAGGACGGAAGGAGACACTCAGTATTAATGCTCAGCAAGTA